TTTATTCGCCAGTTCTGTCCCCACTGGTTGAAGGTCGCCTAGGAGCCGGGGGGGAAAAGACTCTCCTTTGCCTCAAGGCTCTTTAGCACTGGAAAAGCCCCTGTGCTAGCTTGTCCATGTGGGGCTGCCAGCACCAGGTGAGTCTGAGCTCTCATGACAAAGTTCATTGCAGCTATGGCTGAAACCAGAGGCAGGCCAAAGAAGGCAACCCTGGAAACCAGAGGTGTCCATTGTAAGCCAAACTGGAAACGCACAGAAGATCCACTAACTGGAAACTGTTTAAATAATTCTTTTCTTTTTTTCTTTTTTTTTGAGATGGAGTCTCGCCCTGTCACCCAGGCTAGAGTACAGTGCATGCTCTCAGCTCACTGCAACCTCCGCCTTCCAGGTTCAAGCAATTCTCCTGCCTCAGCCTCACAAGTAGCTGGGATTACAGGTGCGCACCACCATGCCTGGCTAATTTTTTGTATTGTTAGTAGAGATGGGGTTTCGCCATGTTGGCTAGGCTGGTCTTGAACTCCTGACCTCATGATCCACACACCTTGGCCTCCCAAAGTGCTGGGATTACAGATGTGAGCCACCGCACCTGGCCAATAATTTTTATAGACCCGTACACCAGAGAATTTTGTAGTCATCGGCAACTATGATGTCTGTATTTATGGACATAAAGAGGCATGTGCCAACCAAAAAGCATGTTACGAGGAAGTATATATACTATTTTTTTAAATCTATAAATGTACAGATGTACCCCAGGTTATGAAACACACAACAGATACAAAACTGTTTTATGCAAATTGCTCCATAAGGTACATAATTTATTTTTGGATATGTGGACACTTTTATATCCACTGCAAGACTAAATGTGGGAAGTGCACTTCAGAGCCCCACAGCCCCTGCCCCACGCCCTTCACCGTGTCCTCACCTGTCTCCATTACCTGCTGTGATCTCTGCGTGTCAGCCACGCTAATTCCATGTTGTGTGTTATTTCCTCTTTACTGCCTTCTAATTGCAACTGGAAAGTGGTGATAAGGACGGAGGCTAGCAGTCTATTTGAAGGCGTAAAAGGAAAGATACAGTGCCCCTAGTACAAAGTTGGTGACTAGTCACTGTGGTTCAATAGTTTTAAAGACCTTGTCTTTTTTTTTTTTTTTAATCATTTTAAAAAAGAACAGTAACACTGTGAATGGTGATACAAAAAGCCGCAAAAGCAAATCGAAAGCATTTTAATGTATATGAAATATGATTTACTTAAGACCTTTGAAAAACGGATGATTGCATAAATTGCATAAGTTGGAAGATGCCTCTATTCCCTAGGAAAAGTGATTTTCTCTGGATAGTGGAATTTCAAATTATATTTCTTTGTTGGCATTTTCCCAATATTTCTCAAAAATTATGTTAGTTGAGTTAAGAAAGCATGATGATGACAGAGACACGGATGAAAGACACAGTATCTTTTTAGTCACTTGCAGTTGTTGTGGGAAATTTCCATTAGTAAACACAAAGAGGCCATTCCAGAGCATCTATGTAGGGATCTATCGGAAGGAGCAAGAGGAAGCTGTGTTTTGTAACACTTTAGATAAAACAGAGAAAACGCCAATTCCAGTTGTCTATGTTAACAATGAGGGAGAGTGGCTTATATAGATTATGGACAAAGCGCCTCCCCCCGACCCCCATCAATCCCTGATGTCTCCTCTAGCCATCCTAAAAGGTGGCCCCCGTGTGACCCTGTAAGTGGCAAGTGTCTGGCTGGGATCTCACCTCTTTCCATGACAACACAAAACCAGCCTTTTGACTTCGTAACAGAGCAAGGCCAGGTGGTCTGTGACATGGCTGGCCACAAGCTGACTTTCTAACCAGCCTATTTTTTCCCCTCTGACAACACTGGGCAGTTTAGTGAGTCCAGATGGTGATTCCCCACATGCGAACTGTTTTTCTATGCGAAATAAATGCCAGCTGTATCTAGCTAATCAAACTAATGTAAACTTGATTCTGGGTCCTCCTTTATGAACACTCTTCCTGGTGGATGGTACCTTACATCTTTAGAATACAATCGCAATTTTTTCCTAATTATTTTTCAAATAATGCTACCTAAAAAATGCCACGTATTTAAAAAATGTGTATGTGCCCTAGCTGGATGCAGCTATAATAAATCCAGTGAATTAAAGTTAATAAATATTTAGACTTTGCAGTGCATAAAAAAATGAAGGTTGATGGGCCCTGAGAAGAACGGGGACACTATTTAAATGTCATGCATTTTAATGGAAGAAATAGTTCAGTTCTTGTCCTCCCTTTCTTCAAAGCAATGATTGTTCAGGCTTGGATTTTCAACACCCCATGCGCTCACCAGTTATCCCAAGGGAGGCCACAGATTGCCATTGCTTTGTGTTCAGCTCATCGCATTCATTGATTTAATAGGTCCACCTGGACATTTTTCAAAGCCAGTAATTGAAAATGTAGCCTGACAGGTTAGCAGGAGTGGCAGGGCCTGGGGGGCAGGGATGGAGTGAAGGAGGGTGGCTACTTTCTCTTCAGCAACCGTAGCAGGTGCATCAAATGCTAGCACCAAAAATGCTGACCCAGGGGCTACCCAGAGGACAGAAGGCAGGTGCATCCCTTCTGGGCACTGACCGGCCTCAGAAGGGACCTCAGAGGCAGGTGAGTGGTAGAAGAATCATGGGCCAAAACCACACTGTTTAACCACAAATCCAATAAGGTTCAAAAGCAACCACGTGACAGAGGCCATGTATTATTCTTTTCCTTTTCTTTTCCTCATTACCCGAAATTATAGTGTGTGTGTATGAGATGGGCTATTTCAAGCGCAGCTAATCCAAATCCACTTCTGTACATTCATTATTATTGTTGGTAGCAGCAATGGGATTTTAAAATATTAACGCATGTTTCCACCTCTCTGCAGTATTTTCTGCTGCTGTCTCCATGCCTTCAGGTATCCAGGCAATTGTGTGCTCATTATCTCCAGAAGGATGTGATTCTGTGGAAAGCAGGGGAGAGAGAAGTGTGAGCAAGCTGAACCTTAGGCCTCAGGGGAAATTGTCAGGGCTTTGAGGAAAAACAAAATATTTGGGAAGAAGGATATTATAAGGGAAGCAAGGCACCTCTGGGGACTGGAAGGAATTTCCCCAGACTGGGCGAAGAGACCAAAGAGCAGAAGACAGGTGTTTCTTTCCTGTGAATACCTAGCTAGCCCTAGAGATGATCTTAGAGCAAAGCGGCAGATGAGAAAAGCTGACTAAGCCCAGGGACAGGAAGACCCCGGAGAGGGACTTCAGAGAGAATATTGGAAGAGGGGCTGTAGAGAGCCTCACAGGAGCCTGTGTGCCTCCAAGAAGGCATAGACACAGCAGGGGGTGGGGGGCGAGGGGCGGGCCTAAACAGGCAGGTTGGACAGAAAGAAAGGATATGTCAATGTCACTTGCAGCCTGTGTGGATCAACAGCTGAAGGCGACTGGACGCCCCAGCAGACATCTGTGTGGAGAGATGACCCTGGCAACCAGGCGCTCCCCACTCCTACCACATCCACAACCTGGGACTCTGTGAACCCCCAGAATTCCATAGGAAGGAAACCCAAGAGTGACTAAGATTGAGTTTCTAGGTTAAAACAGACATTAAGTTTAGTGGTAGAAAGTTTACATTTTTTGTACACTTGAATTATGAATAAGCTTCATGTCACCTAGTGTTATTTGTCCCTACCATATGGTGTGGATGTTAGAATTATGAAACCTATCGTTGTAGATTTCACTGTTTCAAAACATTTCCATGCACTTAAAAAAAAGTGATCTCTTCCAAAAGCATGTGAGGTCTGGAGGAAGGCTATTATCCTTACAACAGAGATGAGGATGCTGGAAGACGGGGAGAGGGATGAAGGAGTTTATTTAACATCACACAGCTGCTATCCACATCCTGCTCCACGAGCCCCTTTTAAATCCATCCTACCACCATCTTCTCCCACCACCTAACGCTTCTTGTACCCCTTCCCTACCATAGAAATAATGCATTTCACATCCTCTTTAGCATAGCAAATCTTTGAAAAGATTTTGCTGTCTTTTAAAACAAATCAAATGGTGTCATAAATGGTATATTTGAAATAAAATCAAAGCATCAAGGCAATGAAAGAAAGCACTGCTTTGCTTTCAAAGCCTGTTTCAACTACCCCCATAGCTCTTATGTTAGTATTTCCACATTAGTAAGTCTCCAAAAACTTTGGAGAGCACCTGCTACAATCCCCTTTCACCTATAGTGAGAAAGGTAGTCCTTGTTCAAGGTCACACAGCCAGGCAGGGGCAAGCCGAGGGGGTAATAAAATCTGGCCTCCTTATGCCCTGTTCAGTACTCTTTCCTATACACTAGATTTCCAGTTAGCTTGAGCAAAAAAAAGTTCAAACTTTGATGAATTTAGCAATGTTCCCCAAACTCTATTTGTAAAAAATAGCCCTTGAACCAAAAAAAAAAAAAAAAATTGGCATATAATGTTCTCTTGAGATGCTTTAAAAATTTCGGTAGAAAAAAGTAGTCACGATAAATTTCTCATATTGAAAATGTCAAGCTCTGTTTGTTATATGATGATGTCAGGGACTATAAAATATGAATTTCTGCTTGAGGATATAAACTCCTCTACAAAAATTTGGTTTCCAATATCTGTAGAGATACGAGTGATAACTAGGAAGTTGCTTTGCTTGAGTTGTTTTGAAATAGTTGTTATGATTGTCATTGTTCATTGCAAGCCTGTATATGTGCATGTCTGAAACAGAGATTGCGGTTGCTGATATTTGCACTCATATTTGTTACTGTCACCAAACTCCAAAACGGATATTGCCAAAGGGTCTCATTCTCATGGAAGACCTTGTGGCTGACCGTGGGAAGGACAAGGTACCAGTATTTGTTGAGTACTATGTGTAGGGACCATACCAGGAAGATAGAGTACTTCTACTTCTGTAGAAAATTGGCAGGGCTGAACAACATTAGAAATTGCTCAACATCACTACTGATCAGAGAAACGCACATCAAAACTACAGTGTGATAACCACCTTTACTCCTGCAAGAATGGCCATAATAAAAAAATAAAAAATAATAGATGTTGGCATGGATGCAGTGAAAAGGGAACACTTCTACATTGCTTGTGGGAATGTAAACTAGTACAATCACTGTGAAAAACACTGGAGATTCCTTTAAGAACTAACGGTAGAACTACCATTTGATCCAGCAATCCCACTACTGGGTGTCTACCCAGAGGAAAAGAAGTCATCATACAAAAAGATACTTGCACAAGCATGTTTTTGGCAGCACAAATTGCAATTGCAAAAATATGGAACCACCCCAAATGCCCATTGATCAACAAGTGGATAAAGCAATGTGGGGTGTGTGTGTGTGTGTGTGTGTGTGTGTGTGTGTGTGTGTGTGTATATATAGATGATGGAATACTACTCAGCCATAAAAAGGAATGAATTAATGGCATTTATAGCAACTTGGATGGAACTACAGACGAATATTCTAAGTGAAGTGACTCAGGAATGGAAAACCAAAGGCATAAGAATGACACAATGGACTTTGAAGACTCACAGGAAAGAATTGGAAGGAAGTAAGGGATAAAAGACTACAAATTAGATTCAGTGTATTCTGCTTGGAAGATGGGTGCACCAAAATCTCACAAATCACCATTGAAGAACTTACTCATGTAATGAAATACCGCTTGTTCCCCCAAAAACCTATGGAAATAAATTTAAAAAGAAAAAAGAAAACTGGCAGGCCTGCAGTGGCTTGAAGATACTAGGACTAACTCACATGCCATTTATCCATATATCCATTCAACAGTCTGCAAATATGCACTGGGCTCCTAGAATATTACAGGTATTTTTCTAGGTGCTTGGGATACAGCAATGAACAAGGAGACAAGTTCCATGTTCTCCTAGAGCTTACATTCCAGAGAGCAAAGAAAAATAAAAAGTAAGCAAATAAATGCACAAGCCAACTACCTTCTTTCTGCATTGTGGTAAGCATCTAATTGCACTATATCATTTAATTACCACAACAACCCATGTGGGTACTACTATATTCATTTAATGTTACAAATGAGTAAAATCAAAGAGAGAGTAAATAACTTGACCTAAGGTCTCAAAGCACATGAGCAGGAGAGATGAAATACCCAGGAAATCTTATTTCAGGGCTTATGTTCTTAACCACTATTAAACTGCTGTAGACTAAATGTTTGACCTCTCTCCCCCTAATTTATATGAAACCTAATCCCCAATGATATGGTATTAGGAAAGAGGGCCTTTGGTAGGTGATTAGGTTGTGAGGGTGGACACCTCATGAATGAGATTAGTACTCTAATAAAGAAGGCCCCAGAGGGTTTCTTTGCTGCTTCCTCCACGTGAGGACACAGCAGAAAGACAGCTGTGTATGAACCAGGAAGAGGGCCCTCACCAGACACCCAGTCTGCCAGTGCCTTGCTCTTGGACTTCCCACCCTCTAGAACTGTGAGAAATAAACTTTTGTTGTTTATAAGCTACCCAGTCTATGGTGTTCTGTAGTCCAAATGGACTAAGACAAAAACTTTATGTAAAAAACCTACTAAATGATAGGACAGGTGAGGAAGACAGAAAATGATGACATTATGCAACAGGTAGCATACTTAGGTAAGCCAAGTTAGAGCAGGGGCATACAGGAAGGGCAACTCATCCAGAATAGGGGCGTCTGAAAAGGATTTCTGGAGAAGTTGAGGCCTGATCTGGGCCTTGAAGAATAAATGGAAATTAATGAGGGATGGGAAACGGAAAAGCATTGCAAACCAAGGGCAACTTCAAATTCAGGCTTCAGGTTGTAGTCGTGTGTTGGGGAGCTGTGAGACATGAGCTGAAAAGAAATCAAGAGCTAGATTCAGAAGGGCCTTGGGTACCACTCCAAGGAGGACTTTGGACTTTTCCTCTAAAGATAATGGGAAGCTATTGGCTGATTTTAAGATATTATCCTATTTGCATTTTCATTTTTTTTTTTTTTTTTTTTTGGAGACAGAGTCTCCCTTTGTCACCCAGGCTGGAGGGCAGTGACCCCATCTCAGCTCACTGCAGTCTCCATCTGCTGGGTTCAAATGATTCTCTGCCTCAGCCTCCTGAGTAGCTGGGATTACAGGCATGCATCAGGACGCCCAGCCAATTTTTGTATTTTTAGTAGAGGCAGGGTTTCACCAGGTTGACCAGGTTGGTCTCAAACTTCTGCTTTCAAGTAATCTGCCAGCCTTGGCCTCCCAGAGTGCTGGGATTACAGGTGTGAGTCACCGCCCTGGCTCCATTTGCATTTTAAAGAGTCCCCTGTGGGATCCTAATCCATTAGGTATTTGGAAGAGTTAAATCTTTTTCTCTCGTACTCCCTGACCCACAGCTCCCAGGAACAATTTGGGCCAGATCTATAATCTGTAATTTATACTTTATAAGAGTACTAATCACCCCAGACATCCTACCACCAGTAAAACATACTACTATTGACATAAAAAAACAGATTTAAGGCAATACTTATGAAATTATTTAAATTCTGGGTAAAAGATGATTAATAGCCACAGTTATTCCTGAGTTTGATCTTGACTTAACATTTGCTCCTAATTTCAGTTTAGCAAATATTTATGGAGGGCATTGTCTGCACCTAACAGCTTTAGATGCTGAATGGGCTTCTAAAAACATACTGCATATAATTTAGTTCCTGTCCTGGACAAGATGGGTTTTTTTTTCTCTTTTGACAAAAATATACAAAGCAGCATGTGGGTCTTCACTTATATGTAATAAAACACCAGAACAGGAAAAAAATCCCTGGATGAGGTTGTCATGGAGAAGGGGAACCTTAGATGACCTTGGAAAGATTAGGCTCCCAGGATGTAAGAAGATACCATAGTGAATTATTTTCAGTAATAACAGTAATCTCCATTTCTTCATGACTTAGACTCAAATGTTAATTGTACTTTGCACTGGAAAAATTAAACAGTGGATATAAAACCATGCAAACACTAGGACAACTAAATCTTTCTGCGTAACCATTTGTTCCTTGTGAAATCACCTTTCTATAATGAATTGTTATGAGAAACTGGGGGCAGGAACTGGCCTCTGAGAACAGCAAAATAAGCTCTCTGAGGTGTGAAAATGAAATCTCCTTCTACTTTTAGCTTTGGAATTGTAGAGGACCTAGACACGACAGAAACTCCCCTGGGTATTGGCAGAAGCTTGTCAGGAGCACTCTTGGACAAACTTGAAAAATTAGCTAAGAAGTGTTTTGGGGAAAGTCAGCTTGAATATTCACCGTTATGCAGATTATAAATTTGGTAAAGGCTCTTAAACAATTGTCATCTATTTAATGAAAAGAGCAATATCTTTTGATTAAATATATATATATATATATACACACACACATATGCACATATATACACACAGATACATACATATGTATATTCAAATAGTTTCATAATTTAAAAAACCCAATCATACATTGATAAAACTGACACCAGATATCCCAAAGCCACAAATCACCACACAGAGGAACCCTGTTCCCTCCTTACTCTTCTCTGGTTCGTGGGTGCCCACCTTGCCGACCATCTCCATGGAGAGCCTCAGCAGGACTGACCCTGAAGGAAATGAGAAATGCAAAGCAGAGAGAACAGGATCCATGCCTCTGATAGTCACGTCTTTTGTAAAGTACATTTCTCTCTCCGTATGACAACGGCTTATCTTTAAGCCTAGAAGCCAAGGGCGATTCCTTCTAATTAGGCCAGTAGTCACCATTCTGGTTCCAATAAAATTAATGAAATGACTAATTAGATGCAGAATATTATGCTACCGTTACAGTCCACTAAGGAGTAAAAACGTGAGTCTCTGCTTAAGAAGCTTATGGCCTAAAGGAAATACAAACAGACCTCAATTTCTTTTTTTCTCACTTGAGTGAATATATCTTACACTGTCCTGTCAAATCGGAAAGGCTCTGTCAGGGAGCATAAGCTCCTTTTAATATGTATGCAGAAAGAAACCTAAAGAGTTAGAGCAGTGAGGAAAACAGAGTCACCTTTTCCAAAGACTTAGGAAAGTCCTAACAAGAAACAGCCCCAGAATAAATTTCTGGTCCCCTCATTCCCAGTCTTGAACCCAAGGCACGCACCCTCCATCTAAAACCATGCAAAACATGATTTCTGAAAGACAGAAAATTAATGGTTGTGAACCCTCTAAAAGGATGTTTTATTTTACTCGCCTAAATTATTATTTTCATTGAAAAATCATGGTCCTCCGCTTCTACTGAATGAACGTGGTGATGCTTTGTACCTGAAGAGACAGGCTTCAGATACCTCCAGAGCTGTCTGTGTCTGATGGATAGATGGGTAAGCACTAATGCTTTTCTTGGAGGGCAACCCTCTAATTTCAATAAGAATTGAGCTACGTGGTGCTTTTATTTGAGAAACTCAGAGTGAAGGTCTGCTAATTGTGAATGGTGGAAATAAAACATTTCTGAGAGTAAACACTGAGGGTACCTATGAGGATGGAAGGATGGTTTTGCCTAAGTTGTATTTGAGTAAAAATTTGGAGGCATCTGTTTAAGAATTCTGTTCAGTTGTTCTCTGTGGGCTCCTATCTTTCTTTCCCTACCATGTGTGAAAGGTGCTGGTGCCAAAATGGAGTTATTTATGTCTAACTATAACACAGTGGAGTCGGGGAGGCCATGAAGAGGCAGCTTTATGCGCACATGCCCGTAACAGGCCTTACAGAAGACAGTCTAGCACCTAGATCAGTAACAGGACCTATCTCAAGAGCTTCCTCAAGATGGCAGTATTCTGGATAAGCCACTGATACAGGGACAGGTACTTAGCAACAGTCTCTACCAGTGAACAAACACTAACTGCAGTGAGCTTGTGAACTATGAACCTTCCTAAAAAGCAGCTTACAGAGATTTCTTCTCTTTGTCTTTAAAAGCTTTCGCTTTGCCCTGACCCCCTTGGATGTGCCTATGATCTGTCACAGCACGCATATCCTGTATTGCCATCCCCTGCTGTTGCCAAATAAACTCATTTGTTCTGGAGAGCCCATCTCTGAGTTTCTTCTTAGGTGGACCCATGTCAGTTTCCTGAAGTTAA